ACAATGCAACCTTCTCCAACGATATCTACCAAGCTATAAACTCTTCCGCTTTCCAATATTTGGCTGGCGCTTCCCAATCACCGTCGGACCATAAGATCTCCGGCAGATATTCATTGACCAATTCCATTTGTTCCGGACGCATTTTTCTGTTGACATAATTTTGTTCCAAAAATATATGCAATTTATCATTGATATATAGACGATTGAACCATTCGAAGAGCGAATAGTAGAGGCCGAACTTGAGTGAGGTCTCTTTGCGTATGGCGGACGAAAGTTCACCTGAATTGAAAATTTTTGAAAAATGATTATGGACTTAATTTGTGATAATTTATTAAAAGCTCACGAATTATGTCCCGCTTTGGCCCAATATCCATGGAATTCCAGCTAAAAGACGATGTGGAGGGCCAAAGTGTGTAACCGTCATGATGCTTGCTGGTTAAGACAACGTATCTGTAAAGAAAAAGTTCGGTAAGAATTCATAATTTAAGGATAATGGTCTCAGCTTATATTAAATAGTTGAAAGTCCACATTTCTAGCAACACAACCTATAAGCTATACTGCTAAACTTGAAAAATTCTACCTCGAAGTATTTAATCTTTTAGGCAAGTATTTTTTGAAATTTCCGCAATATACCCTGATACTTTATAGAGTCGTAACCTTGACTTGTTTTCTTCCAGTTAAAAAGTTGATAAATTCTAGTTCTTCGAAGATATAACGGGGTTTCAACAGAGAAGCAACAGCATGGAAAGTTATACGATCCAACAAATAGTCGAAATTATTAAAATTTACTACCGAAATTCGGAGTCAGCGGCCTTAACTTTAACAGCGCTACGTTCAAATTATGTTCATCATAATCATCATAGATCAACAATTGAGCGTCTATTGGAAAAATCCACAGACACAGTACAAAAGGTCCCCGTTCCAGTGAGACAAAGAATGGTCCGTAGTGTCGAGAATATTGCTGACGTTAGCGCATCAATTGAGAAAGACCACATTCAGTCACTCACACGTCGTTCACATGTTTTGAGCATCTTTGTAACGTCGTTGTGGCGAATTTTTCGAAACAAAGGTCTTGGTCTACATCCTTACAAGATCAAACTGATGCAAGAACTGAAGCCGCCTGATCACCAGAATCGTCGTATGTGCGTGAATTGGGCTGAGCAACAACTTAATCTTGATCCGAATTTTCATCGAAAAATCATCTTCAGCTTAGGCTCATTTCTAGCTGAATGGCTTCTTCAATAAACAAAAAATGCGTCATTGATCGGACAGCAATTCACACGTACTCCATGAGTTACTATTGCATCCGGAAAAAATTACGGTTTGGAGCGGTTTATGGGCCGGCGGCGTACTACTTTCGTGATGATCAAGTCGGGCACTTTACTGTTAATGGGAATCGCTACCGCTAAATGATAACCGAATATTTTTGGCCCAAATTATATTATATGAACCTGGTTAATATGTGGTTTCAACAGGACGGCGCCACAAGCCACACATCGAGTGTCACAATTGATTTATTGAAAACTAAATTTGGTGAACGCGTTATCTCACAAAATGACCCAGTCAATTGGGCGCGCGGTCGTGCAATTTGACGCCATTAGACTATTTCCTGTGGAGCTACGTCCAGTCTATGGTCTATGCGAAAAAGCCAGCGACGAATGATGAACTTCGTACAAATATCGAACGTGAAATCTCAGCCTTATGCCTTAAACGCTCCCGAAATCTTGTTTGGAAGGTTTGGAATTATAGTTTTCAATTGCGAAGATCGTGTTGGTCTAAAAATAGATATATATGAGAGTACTAATCGATTCTCCTTGGAGGTCACTTGGAGCTTTCGAAGTTAATCTCGGCGTCTCATTCCGAATAACGCTTGAATAGAAACCAGAAACGTACATATGCTCAACTCCAAATCTATCGTAAAAAGGGGTTTTACGAGTCCAATTTTCTGTAGAAGAAATTTTTATTTCCCGACGTGAAAAGCAGAACTGGTTGCATTTTAAGAAATTCTAGAAACCTTAAAAATTTCTAAATGTTTTTAATAAAGTTTCTCTTCTATTTCCACAACTGTGTTCTAAAAATACTTCCGAATTCAATACAAAAATTTTTACAACACATTTAACTCACTTTGCTCCACTGTCGCGAAAGAGCAGCGCCCACTTTGTAGCATTGAACAATTCAGCTGTGAATTCATGAGCAAACTCCTGATAAGAGAAATTCGGCTTGTAGTTGTTTTTCATAAAACTCAAATAGTTGGGATAGTGCAAATCTAAAATAAGAATCATCATTGAAAACACATACATACACACATATTTACATATAAACATTTATGCTAGCACCACGTAGCACCACTCACTTAACCAGTCCTGCCAAAACCACTCCGACCCGAAACTGGGCACTGAATATACACCCCAATGTATGAAGATGCCGACTTTCGCCTCATCATACCAGCTGGGCAATGGACGCTTGTCGAGACTAGCCCAATTCGGTTCATAACGCTCTCCAATGGCTGCATTGTTAAAGGTCAAGCAAATGAAACACACACCGAACAGCGGCCAGCGGCTCATTGTTTACACGCAAATACGTTGAAAAGAATGGAAAATAAATTGAAAATATTGATATTGCATGTGATAATAGCTCTAGAGTGCAGATAAGCGTCGGCTCATTAGACGACCGGATGTAAACAAACACGCCGATGCGAGTATAAAAGCTAGACTTGCTCGCTGAAAGTACAACTTGACACTGTGGGAGCGTTAAAGTTGTCGAATAGTAACGATTTAGCTTGTAGCTTCCCAAGTACACTCGAAAAAATAAGTATGAAAAATATGTTACTATATTTATTTAAGATTTTTTTTTAAAGGCATTAGGTCAGTATAGAATTTTCAAAAACTTTTTTTTTAATTTCTTGAGGTACATTTTTTGGTTCTAAATACATTAATTAACTTAATGTTTTCCCTATCCAATCCGCTATATGTCGAAGTGTTTGGGTAAATCAGCTTTAAAGCTTCGTTTTCATATATTCATACTAGTCTCTCAGTTCTTTTGATATCGATTTGAAAGTTGGCACACGTTCTCAGCTCTTCAAGAAGCTGCTCATTTGTCGATATCGCTGATATCGGATAATCATAGCATATAGCTGGCTTACAAATTGATCGATCCAAATCAAGCTCTTGTATGGAAAACTTTTGTATTTGACAAGATATCTTCACGAAATTTGGCGAAGATGTTTGCCTAAGACATTGCTACAATCTCCAAAAAAATTGTGCAGATCCGATCACTTTATCATATAGCTGCCATACAAACTGCTCGATCAAAATTACGACAAAAATCTTGTTGTACCCTTTCGTGCTATATTAAAGCACCTATGAAGGGTATTATAGTTCGTTGCAACCGATGTTAACGTTTTTCTTTTTTTTTATGAAAAATTTAGTGTTAATTTTTTCGAACAAAAACTGAAACGACCGATCATTTTGTAGGTAATTCACTATCACGACTTAAGGCCCCGTTGTTGTTGTTGTTATAGCGGCAGAATTCTGCCGAGTTGACAGTCCTTGGCCGTATAAAAATCCGGGTCAGTTCCGGTTACGTAGACCCGACTATCGTGGGAACGGTCTTACATTTAAGACCCCGTCTTTAATAATGTTTTACAAAGTACAACTTCCTATAAACACCGTGGAATTTCGACAAAAAAAGAAAAACACAAAATAGAAAGAAATAAAAATTTCCACCAACAATTTTCAGGTTAGTTTTCGAAATACCGCAATAAATGACAAATTTCTTTCAAGTTCATACTAAAATGGCGTTTTATTTGATTTCTTTTAAATAATACTAATGCTTGTCGATCGATAAATCGTTTGCATGTGTATGTACAAATATGTATTGATAAAAGTAATTAATTTAAATTAAGTGTAAATACCAAATGCCTAATTTATGTATAAGAATGTGAAAGCTTTTAACAAAATTCTATAAATGCGTTATTATCATGAAAAAGATACTAATTTAATGCAATCGAAAGCAATAAAGTTGCAAAATACATTTATAACTATGTATGTATGTATGTATTAAATTATATTGTATATATGTATATGTATAAATAGCATAAAATGTGAAATAACTTAACTACAATCAAACAACAAGTTAACATAATTTCAAAAAAAAAAAACCTATGGATGTGTGAGTGTATGTACGGAGTTCTTTGAGAACTCCTTTCATGGCTATGGAATCTATATAAAAATGTAATAATTTGCCCAGAGAAATTGTGACAGCTTTGCTTGTGTGAAATTTGTAATTGCATTAAATTGCAACTTTGTATATTTATGTATGTTTGTATGTATGTTAGCTATGGCTTTTAGTCTATTGCATAGGATTGCTGTGTGAGTGTACATAGTTGTAGTTGTAATAGTAGTAGTTTCTTTTGTTAATCATGTGGAACTATTGAAGTTTATTTTATAAATTCTATTGTAATATCATAGTTGTTGGTGTGTAGTTGTTATATTGTTATTGTATGCATGTTTGTTTGTTTGTAGGCTGCAGTTTCTCAGAAAACAGTTACGTTAATGTAATTAATATAAATATGCAACTGCCAGTGCGTTTAGAGTTATTGTGTGTTGTTGTGATGTGAAGTGCTCCACTTAATACATATATTATATATATATGTATATATACTCATAATAATGAAAATTAATATTACGGCCACTATCCGCTCCTCTCCTGGCAGTGAAAAAGCCTAAACTAATTTTTTATTGAAAGCTTTTCGCGGTTTGCTTTCCACTCCAATTCATAATCTCTCACCTGTTGGTTATACAACGTATTCAATATTATTATTTTTAGTTATTTCATTTTTTTTTTATTTCCACTTATTTAGAATGCTCTTTGGTTGCACGCGTTGTGGTTGCTAGTTAAACCTCTCAACTGCAAAGCACGTGTATATGCCTTATTCATTGCTTGACTGGTGTTTGTTATACGAAATGCTTTCAAGCAGTTTTGATTTTTGTTCTTATGTGTAAAAATGCTCCAACTTTCATTTTCTTGGCGTTTTATTTGAAGCGCGTCACATAACTTACGGCTTCAAATAAATGAACCGTCAGTGTTCCTGTGGCGGTGTGCGAAATTCCGAAATCCAGTCGGTGACACGAAGACGGAAAATTTCCGTTTTAGTCAGTATCCAATCGCGGTATTGATGTGGTATAAACTCTACCAAGCGATCGGCTATTTCGGGATTCTTGAACATAATCATGTAAATAACCACGACATTAATGGCCAGCAGTATGAAGAATGTGAAAACAGTTGTAAGTGCTGTGCTCGATTTGGATATGGACTTTTTCGCTGCACCATTTCCATGTTTTTTGGATTTCGTAGCCTTGCTGTTGGCATTTGTTGGTGCAATTTTCACTTCAGCGCTTATATCATTGTTATTGTTGTTGGTGTTTGCTTTCTTTGATTTCGACTTAGCTTTCTTAGCAGTTGATTTCTTTGATTTTGCATTTTCAAGCGGTTTCTCTTCGACGCCAATATCCTCAGTTGGAGCAGTAGCGGTCGTTAGCGCTTCGAGTTTGTACTGCTCTTTAGCCTTTTCCGCTTCGGCTTGCATGCGATTCAAAAATTTCACCTGCAATATAAAGCATAGTATTATTAAAACTAATTACGGTTAATTGAAGACTTACGGTATTCCTAGCTGAATCCTGACATTCTTTGGTGGTGAGACAGAAACCAACCACTTTAGCTAGTGCTGGCGTTAATGGGTTGCCTTTCAAATCCAAATATCGTAAATTTGTTAAATTACCAAAACTTAGTGGCAGATGCTCCAATTTATTATCGTACAAGTCCAAATGTCGCAAATTCCGTAGTAAACCAAATTCCTCTGGTAAATAACGTATTTGGTTTTTACTTAAGTCAACTTTGACGAGACGTGTTAGCGTGATGAAACTTTTCTAAAATGTAAATACCATTCATTATTAACTGTATAATGGAAAATTATTAAAATTTTGCATATAAGCAGTTATTTCACATAACTGTTGAATTGCAATCAAAATTCAAATAACAAAGCGTCAAATATTTTTTGTCATTAAAAAAAACTATCAACATCAACGTACTCCCAATGAAGTGATACAATTGCTCGACAAGTCCAACACAGTAACCCGCTTAAAAGAAGCCTGAAAAGAAAAAGTGAAAAGTTTATACTTTATTCAACACAAAGCAGATCTCACACTCCATTTGCAAGTGGTAAAAAAATATAGCACACAAAAAGGCACACAAACCAACTGGTATGCCAACAAGCGGCAGCAATTCACTTTGAAAACACCCCTATGGTTGAATGGAAAACGATTCGTTGCGATAAGGGTGCATCTATGAACTGGACATATATAACCAGACAACTACATACTAACTTGATGTGTATATGCTTGGAAAGGTGTGGGGTTCAATATGAAAGTGAAATTTTTTCAAGTATCACATGGATTTTTCAACCAGCTTTTTTACATTCATCATATGTACCATAATTGGAATTTAATACATATTTTTCATAATGCAACTTGCAAATGATTAATTGCAATTATGTACTTACTATCTCTCGCACCGGTATCTCATTAATTCCACTCAAGCTCAAATCACAAACATTATCATCGACCCTTTCCTTAACATTTACTTTCACTTTCTCAGCTTTCGGCATTTTGTTTGTTGCTTAATTCTATTATTTAAAGGATAATTGAAAACTTTAATGTGCACGCTTTTTCTAGCTGCCTTCTGCACAATCAATTTTGATCTGCAACCCAATTTTTTATCAACAAATCCAAATAGATTGACGTGGTTTTCTCAAGCAGTAGCAGCTTATAAAGTTTAAGGTCAAGGATTTAGTGTTGTTTATGTCACAGCGGGCCGGCAGCGCTACCACTTGTGCTATGGGATGCATGCTGCCTGATTGCTATTGGAAAAAGATACTTCAACTCAAATATTGCTAATAATTTTTAAACGAATAATACTTAAGTAAATATAAATACTATACAAGTTTGTTCAAATAAAGAAAATTTTGAATATCTGTTTTGTGTGTATAAGCTTGTTAAGTTAATATTATTTATATGCAGTTACGTATCACAAAGTGTTCATTTATTTGTGACGTAAACATTTCTATCTTAGTGGTAGCACTACCACGCGAGGTAAACAAATATTCTGTTTATATTTTTTGTTGCAATAAAATAATTTAAATTGCAGAGAAAAGTTCTTTAATAAAATGTTTATGTTTTTTAACGCACACTCCTTTGATTTGGAGGAAGAACCGCGTGTTATACGTAGACGTTTAAGGGATAACACAAATGTGCTGGATTTACCAAATAAGGAGTATGTCATTTATTCACTTATAATTTTCTTTTAAATCGTAAAAACAATTCGTAATATTTCTACAGATTTGTCAACCAATTTCGCGTGAGTAAAGAGGTTTTTAAGAATATTTTATTAGAAGTAGCTCCTAAAATGGAAAAAAGGTTTCGATCCACATCTATACCAGAAATGACCAAATTAGCTTGTTTCTTCCGTGCTCTTGCTGGGAAATATCAAATGAATGTTGGCACAAACTCATATACTTGTGTATCACAGGGCACGACTTCAAAAATTGTGGGCGAGTGTTTGGAAATTTTTGAAGATTCATTTTGCGGCAAGTGGATATGTTTAGAAATGAATGCAAAGGAGGAATCTGAAACTAAACAAGCATTTTACAGAAGCACTAAAGTGCCTAATGTAATTGGTTGTGTTGATTGCACCCACATACCAATAAAGCGTCCCACAGTTGAAGTAAGACATCTATACCAGAATAAAATTGGATCGTTTAGTATAAATACGCTAATGGTAAATTATAAGACAATACAATACAATAACATAAACTTTACATAAAATTTGTGAAAATATAATAACAGATTTGTGATGCAAAGTTGGTGGTGCGATATGTGGATGCAAGAACGCCAGGTGAAAAAGCTGATGAATACGTTTGGCGTCTAAGTGGTGCAAATGCTTATTTGAAATCGTTATATGATGCCGGAAAACGAAATTTCTGGATAATAGGTGAAAACTGTTTGATATTGTATATAACTGTATGCAGACAATACTCAATCACATTTTATGTTTGTAAACAGGTGACTCTAACCTGCCACTCCAACCGTATTTGATGACACCGTATCATAATCCCACTGAGACTTATGAAACTATTTATAACGAGAAACTGCTTAAAGCACAGAAATTCGTAGGAAAATGTTCCAACACTATTAAGAACAGATTTCGCTGTATAGCGGATGGCAAAGCGATATATTATCTGCCGGAGAAAGCAACTAAAATAATTAATGTTTGTTGTGCAATTCATAATGCGTGTATATTTTATAAAGACAATTTAGAATTCGGTGAGACAGTAGATATGAATTTAAACAATGACAATTGGCATAGTAGCACAGAGTTTGACAGCGATATCAATGCAACGGAGGAAGCTTTAAAAATAAGAAAAAAATTAGCTAAAAGTTTGAAACATTCCAAAGATTGATCATAAATGATGTTAATAAGATAAAAAAGTGGTGTGTATTTTGGTATTCTCAAAACTTGTATTATGTTAATTTTTATAAAAAATATTACTACCTATTAAAAAATTAAAACTTTTTTCAAATTGAAAAAGACTTTTAGTCTTTAAAGAGCCATAAAACTATTATAACTCCGCCATTCTTTCCATAGCAGCAGCTTGACGTTCAATAGCTACAGTTTGTCTTTCCAGCAAATTCAATTGTCTCTCCATTAACTCTTCTTGTCTCTCGACAGCAGTTGTTAGTTTATGTAGTGAGAGACTCTGTCGGTCCATTATTTCTATCATTTCTTTTGATATTTTCATGTATTGTACTTGGTGTTGTAATTGACGACGAAAAAGAAAACTACTGTGATGCTCAGATTTTCGTTTACGAGCGCCAATCGTGCAATTTGTTGATGGTGACATAGGTTCTGCTTCAACAGATTCCCCCCCATCGGACATAGCCGTGGCTGAAGGTGGCGACATTTTGGCGATAGTAACCATTGGCAATGATTTGTCTGCAGGTACACCAAATGTTTCACCAATCGGTTTTTCAGCTTCAATGAGTTCAAGAACCTTCCCCATTGCCTTTTCAGTTTCCGTTAGTATATGCTTGGGGTAAGCCGCTTCTTCATTTTCTTCAATCTTCTTTTTTGTATTTAATTTTAAACTACGGAAAATCTAAATGAAAAATTGGTTATTGAAAGTGTGTGTGTACGTCTTCTTCAATAATTTACTTTTTTCCATTCACGTATGCTACGTTCCGGTGGTCCTATAGCATTAAGTTTTTTTGCTATTCTTTCCCAATCCTCTTGATTGCGTGGTGGACCAAACGCTGGTGTGTGTTTACCTACTTCTGGCTTCCTTTCGATCTCTTGCAATAATAAAGTGTATTGATCCTTCGTTGGTTCCTTAATGGCGCTGCTGAATGAATTTGATGCAGATGGCGGTTCATCAGATACGGCACCAAAACTATCGCCAAACTCTGCTTGTAGTAGGGCGGCCACCGTTTGTTCCAGTTTGGTTAAGGGATATGGTTGAAAATGTTCATCACTCATTTTTTTCTTGGTTTTTGCCTTATAGTTAATCCATACCTGCGAATATGTATACAAATCTATAAAGTGCAAAACAATTTTGTATATCATTTCAAATATTACCCTCTGCCATTCTTTGCCTGTCCGACATGGTGGCCCAAAATTGTTAAGCTCGTCCGCAATTTTGTTCCACTGTTCCTCTACTTGCTGCTTGCTTTGTCCATATGTTCGCGCTCCTCGGGCAATTTGGGGATTTTTCTGCATCAAATGCACTAACCGCTCGAACTGCTTTCCGTTTGTAATTTTAAGTAATCTTGGAAATAAATATCATTTATTAGTTATTTATTCTTGTAAAATTCATATTTTATTTATACTCACGATTTTTCCGCCATCCCTCTGACACATCTGCCTCACTCAACAACGCAAAACTGTATTGAAATTTTTGGTAAATATGTATGTATATAAAATGGTGACTGGCCACTCAGTTGACTGGCTACCTTGCACAATATTCCTTGGTAATAGTATACGTTTGACAACAACTATACTCGCGCTAGTATAGATTCATAAAAGAGGTGTTTTTTGAAAATGTTTAACATTATTCTTGTATTTTTATTTCCAGTTTATAACATAGTTTATATATTTTATTAGAAATCTGTTTATTCGTTGGCTTATTGTTGCAAAGAGCAATGAAAACGAAGTAAATTAATCGAATTGTCTGTTACGACGCCAAAGTAAACGCTTTACGTGATAGGGTAGAGGATAGGCAAGTGTTGCCACTGTATAAAACTGGATACGTTTTTCTTTTTATAAAATTAGAATAGTCTTACCATATCCTTTAAAACTGTTATACCCATAATGTTTTAGTATACTAGGTATAGTTTATGTTTCCTATACTAGTGTAGTCGCCGCTATATAACTTTATAACGAAATATATATTATGAATGACTATTGGCAACTTGCCACAGGTAACTGAAACGCCATTCGTTCGCACGATAGGGTCTAAGTAACCGGAACGATCTTTGATTTTTATCCGACCAAGGAATTTCAACTCGGCTTTATTCCTAGAAATTACTACAGAAATGTTTTCTATTGTTATAGGAGCAATAACGACAGTCGCCATTTTATACATACTTAATATCTACGACGCTAAGTTTCCATATTGTGTTTTGAAGTATCACAAATCCAAATCAGCACAATGAATTCCAACAATAATAAAGACTTAAAACCTGGATCTTCCCAAACAGCAGCGCCACAAGGAACCAAATCTGGTTCTACTCGACGTAAACCGAAGCAAGAAGTAAAAGCTTCTCAACCTGTATCGGAAGAGGTGGCTAATCAACCTGGGAAAAGGTTTACTTTACTTTATGGAAAATATCAGGGGGACTAGCGCTGTCTCTGTCCGAAACTTTTAAACCAACTGCTTTGTCGACTACACCTGCACCTGAACGTAATGATCCGATATTAATGGATGCCATTCTTGTGGAAGGATAGCGCCATTGTATGTGCACGTATTAGTCACTTTTGTAAATGCAAAGCGTCCGTTCTAGCTACCAAATAATGACGAGGCATTATTTTGTTGTGAAATATTTTTATGAATTGACTTTTTAATAATACTAAATAATTTAATATTCTGAATATCCGAATTGTCCTGTGGTTATATAAAAATAAAGCAAAAATATTTTTTTTTTTTTTCAAACTAAGAAGAACATTATTTATTAAATGTTGTCATACACAATTTGTGTAATTTGATAAAAACAGTTTAATCTTCCTCTTCTTCAGCAGCACCACCACTGCCTCCTTGGTTCTTCTTCATGTTCTTCCTCTTCACGCGACCTGGACGGCCACCACCGAAGGGCGATTTCAGTGAGAAATCGATGTGCTTCTGCGAGTCCAAACGCACGACAAACGATGGAATGTTTACCACTTGTCTGCGAACGCTGTAGAAGGAACGAAACAAACATGCCATTAATAAGTGCAATTCTCAAATAAATGAAATTTAAATGCTGAAATATATAAAGCTGTTCAGTTTATGTAACTTACGCGTTGATAGTTTGCGCAAACTTTTACAAGTTTTTTTTTATTATGCAAACTAATTTTGAAAAGACGTTGAGAGCCGGTGCAGACTACTATGCTGTTCGACTCTCAAGTGGTCTTACTGAACATATTTTGTACAAATTCTCATGAATCCGCAGTTGCATACTATCGCAGATATTTACCGAATGTGTCTTTGACGGATGAGAACGCGAGCATGATGGATGGACTTGGCCAAACCCAATTTGAAGACTTGAGTTTGTAAGCGACGCTCCAAGAAATCCTCAATTTTCAAGCCCAACACGTAATCAAGCTTCATGCGGGATTCATCCAACACACCAATACGTACCAGACGACGCAACAAAGCGTTACCTGCAAAAAAAAAATTTTTTCACATTATTTAGACTTACTTATTATTTATAAAATTAGAAAAACCAAAAATTTCAGTTAATTAAGTTTATCGTCAAGAATTTTTTTCAGACAGAAAGTGTCAAACCTGCGAAAATCATCACATTAAAAAATTGGTTGGCTCATATTGAGATTTAAATTACCTTGGAACAATCTCTTCTCGTCTTTCTCATCCAGAGTCAATAGCTCACGAGCAGCTTTACGGATTTTAGCCAAAGCGTACTTGACACGCCAGACCTCACGCTTGTTGCGCAAACCATATTCACCAATGATTTTCAACTCCTGATCCAAACGTGCCTTTTCATAAGGGCGACGTGGTGTTACATATGTCTTCGAGAAGACAGACGGTATGCGTCCGTTGACCATCTTTTCACTTCTTTAACCGAGTGCTAAAATTGTAGAAATTTCAAGTTAGTTACAAAATCACAAAGTATCGCCAACATCTTTATAATGGTGCTAAAAATTTGCCAATTACTATAAAATTCGGCATTTTATTTCTTTTATAAAATTAATATTTCAGACTATATTTATATATATAAGCAATAATTTTTAACAAATTAGAAGTGCTACGGTTTTTACGTACATTCGGCTCAACGATTGAAAAATGAAAGAACGAATTATGTGAGTTCAGGAAATTCGTTCAACGGGCTGTCAATTTGACAACACGAAATGTGGGCTGTGGATTTTGAAATATGGTAGTAGAATTTTCTGCAATAGAGTGCTCTGCTGCTATACACAGGGTGGGTTGAACGATACAAAAGTGTATGCATTCAAATTTCTATACAAATTTGACAATTTTAAGACGTTTTCATATATATAGATATACACATTCTAGTTTTATCGGTCCTAACATCAGTTTGTTTGGATGTGAAATGGTGCGGTGGAGGAAAATGTGAGCTCTGCTACAAATTAGTGACTTATGTCAAAAGTTTCATATGAGATAGGCTTCAATCATGCTTGAAAAATTAAATTCTTGTAAATTGTTTTGTAAATACACATATTTTATGCACATACACACTTAGTCATATAAATAATACAATTTATTTCGAACCTTATTCGGCAACACTGTGAACGGAAACCAAAATTCAAAACAGAGAACCGAAGCAGCGGTAGCAGCGCTTAGCACGTTGCTTTCAAGCATTCTGATTGGACCAATTCAAAGCGTCGAGAGAGAAAAACTAATATCTCAGCTATACTTTCGTACTCGGCTTGCAACACAGAGTGACGCAGCAGAAACAATTCTTACCGTGACGTAGAATTTGTCTTTAGTCAATGCAATTTGTATGCGGAAACGGGTTTCACAAAATAGTTGCTTCAAGTGCTTCCTATAGTCCCACACAGCAGCGGGTCACTCAGTCCACTGTGCCAAGCAACAGTAGAGACAACAACAACGAATAAGAGGGCGACGGTGGCGCTGCGGGGGTGGCCATACGAACGTACGGCAAACGAATGGCCAAAACAGCTGCCGGTGGCTGCATGAAGCCAACAACAGCCAGCCAGCCATCTAGCCAGTAATTGGCGCTGCGGCCGCAACCAAAGCTAGAAACAACAATCGCCAATAACCGCTGCAGCAGCGCCGTCGTGTGGAGCAGTGCCGGCGTTAGCGACAGCACCAACAGTGGCTGTTTGCTGCGTCAGTTGTTGTTCGGTGGCCATACCAGCTGGAAGTCTCCGCCTGTGTGAAAGTTTTATCGCTCGCTCATTCGAGTAGTAGTAAACGAATTGAATTATTACGAATCAAACGCGCGCCGTTATAGTCAAAGCAAATCGAAAATTTTGCCGAAAAGCATTGTGTTTTTGTTTTTAATTGCATTATTACACCAACAATAGCGAAACACGATTAAACATGCAATAACTTGCAGTTGTCAAAGTGCCGTCAGCTGTGTTTTGTTATTTACACATTTAGAACAACAGAAAATAGTTGGAAAAAAAAAAAAATAAAATAAAAATCACAAATTACGTGCGAGTGTCATCTTCTTTTATGTGTTTGCCAGCACGAAGAAGGCGCATTCTTATTTTGTGCTAAATATAAAAATATAAACAAGTGTGCATGCATTTGTGTGTGTGTGTGCGCGCTTTAGTACTTGCTTTGTTCTGTGTTGTGTGCGTTTTGTACTAAATCTAGTTGCAAGTGCTGCAAGTTCTTGACGCGTTGCAAGCGCAAACAGAGTGATTAGTCGACAGTCGTGTTGTTGGCGTTCCGGTTCTAGTTAAAGAACGAAAGTGAAGACGCCATACTAGAACAGCCGCCGCCGCCGCTGCTTTGTGGGCACGTTTGGCATTTTTAAACGCCCGTCGTGCGAGAGTCTTTTGTGGATTGTTGCTTGGAAGTTTTATGTGGACGCTAAAACAGATTGGGTTCTGCGAATAAAAAAAAAATATATATATTCAATTAAAAAAATTATAATTTCCGGTTTCATTCATAAGATCAGTGTTGTGGTTTAAACAGTATAAACACAAATTGGCAGCGGCAGCAATTGTGGTTGCGGTGTTTTGCGACAAATCTTGTCAAACAACGTAAAGTGAACAAGTTATTAAAGAAAGAAATTAAAAACTAAATTTTTTTTAGGAGAAAGAAAATTGAAGTATAAATAAAAAAAAAACAATAACAAAGTAAACAAACAAAATTAAAAAGTAAAAGAAATACATACAAGCATAAAGAAGCAAAAAATTAAACAATAACACAATAAACCGAAAATCAAAAAACCTAAAAATTTAAATAAAATACAAAGTTGAAAAGCAGAAATTTAAAATAAAAGTTTTTGGCGTCTACTCACCCCTCAGTTTCTTTCTGGTCGTTGTGTCTCACATTTCCGAGAATTGGCAGTTAATTTAAAAGAACCACGAGAGGTGCGCGAATAAAGAGATAAACGGCTCAGCGTAAAACAGATACAAAAAAAAACGAAACGTATGCCAACAATAAAAATAAAAACAAAGTGAAAAAACAAAATCGCCGTGTGTGTGTTTGTAGAAAAAAGTATGCAAATTAAAAAAAATGCCGGCTGCGTGTGTATGTGTGTGATTTAGCCATGCGAACGAGTTTCCAATCGCATACCAGAAACGTCAAAAATTATTGAAAACCAACGCAGACCGTATGTGCGATATTTAAATCAGGTAGGTACGGATGTACATATTCACATGCATACAAACATACATGTGTCCATACTTTGTATACACTTGTGCTAATGTTTATGGCAATAACTCGGCCAAAATTATGCAATACTAATTAAACGAAAGTCGATTTCGTGTTGTAAAACGGTTATAAAAACATAAAGAGTTTAAAAATCAACTTTTATTTTGGAACGGCTTGATATTATATTGTGACTTGTAGTAATTTTGTATTGTGTTATTGTGAAAATGAAAGTCTCATTGTTTGTTTGGTGTTTCACAAGCCTTTGGTCGAGCTTTTTTTCTGACAATTTTTGCTTCCTTTGGGTTTACAAAAATAGGTTTTTTTCATTTTTTAAGGATTGTGTATGAAAATTGTTACTGAAGAAATTAAAGCATATTCGCTCGGATGCGATAAGATTTTCAGTGCATTTTAGATTTTTCTCAAAGTTATCCACAGATTATTATAAGGAGATCCATGCAATATGGGTAATGTTACAAAAACATCCCAGGTTATAGAAAAAAATCATTTTAATAAAAATAGTTAAAAATTTTTTTCCATAGTTTTTAGAAATCACGAGTGTTACTAGAGTAGATTTTCATTCCCTACCATCTCTCTCGCAATATTAGAATAAATAATTAAAGAGGAGAGCAAACAAAAAGAAATATTCTGGAGTTCCCTTGCTGATTGAAGAGTTCTTGTGTAGTTATAGCAATAAAAAAATAATATTTTCATACCAAAATAGTGGTACTTAAATAAAATTAGCAATATGCATCGGCTCTCAATTTTCGCTCCCTTGCCTGTAACGTATGTAACTGTTAGGGACTCTGATTATATATAACCAAGAGCTGACTGGAAAATGAAATGACAATATTTTCGGCTACTACAACAAAACAACCAAAAATAGGTTAAAAAAACGTTGAAACTTTTTCATACGAAAATTTATTTGTTTTTGATCGTTCATTTTGTAGTGCAAACTTAATATATCGTGTTAAGGGTATAAAAATATCAATAAAAGTGCCAAGTTCTAAAATTTAGAAATTATATTTTTAACACTTTAATCAATTTGGTTCTCAGTTCCCAATCGGGTTAGAACGATGCCCCGCTGATGTGTGTTTCTGCAATAAGCATTGGCAATAAAATTTGGCGAAACAGTACAAATTTTCCGTTGTGTACAGTAAATTTCCGATCAATGAGAGCAAAATATCTTACTTGACCTCCAACTTACGTTGCAACAAGGATGGATAAATTCATCAATTTTTATTTCGGGCATATTTTTCAATATTGAACCGATAACTAATTTGCATTGCTCCTAATGCACATTAAGGAGTTACATGGGTTTCTTACAACAAAATATTGCATATTTTCATTACGCTTTTTACATATAAAAATAAAATATTTTACACAAAGACAAATCTTTTACAAAGATTTCGTCAGTTTGGCAATCCCTCCGAAAAAGGTGTGTTTTTGGACCAAAAACTAGGTGTTGAAAAAGGAAGAAAAAAAGTTAAAATTGCAATTTTGTCAGAGACCAAAAATACAAATTTTTGCGAAATAGTTGTAATTGTAAGTACATGCCGAAGACCTGTAAAACGCGTTGAGTGGTTTGTGGGGCGAAAAACCTTAACAACAATCCTTGAAACGTAGTTTGGAGTAAAATGCGTTTAAAGTCTTTTTCAATAAGAGCGCTACAAATTTTTTTTATAAATATCGATTTTTTTTTGCATGATCACGCTTGCCCAATCACGGTTTTCAAACAAAAATCAGCCGATACTGCTGCTATTTCACGTTCGATTTTCGTACGAAGTTCGCCGATCGTCGCTGACTTTTTGGCACGACCGTGGCGACCAATTAACTGAGCCATTTCGTTGGTAACACGTTCACCAAGTTTGGTTTTCAATAAATCGATCGTGACTTTGTGTGGCTTGTGGCTCCGGCCTGTTGAAACCACATATTGTCCAAGTCCATATAATCAAATTCAGGCCAAAAATATTTGATTATCATTTAGTCGTAGCGATTCCCATTCATAGCAAAGTGCGGAACTTGATCATCACGAAAGAAGTACGCTCGAATGACGTCGCCGAGCCAAAAACCGCACCAAACAGTGACTCTCTACAGTCTGTCTCTTATACACATCTGGCCGATGATGCCGCCCGACCAAAAACCGCACCAAACAGTGACTCTCTACAGTCTGTCTCTTATACACATCTGGCCGATGATGCCGCCCGACCAAAAACCGCACCAAACAGTAATTTTTTCCGGATGCAACTCCAGCATTCCACGGTGAATTGCTGTCCGACCAATAACGCATTTTTTGTTTATTGACGAAGCCATTCAGCCAGAAATGAGCCTAATCGCTGAAGATGATTTTTCGATGAAAATTCGGATCAAGATTAAGTTGTTGCTCAGCCCAATTCACGCACATACGAAGATTCTGGTGATCAGGCGGCTTCGGTTCTTGCATCAATTTGATCTTGTAAGGCTGTAGACCAAGATCTTTTCGAAAAATTCGCCACAACGACGACGCAAAGATGCCCAAAACATGTGAACGACGTGTAAGAGACTGATTGTGATCTTCCTCAATTGATGCGCTAACTGGAACGGGGACCTTTTGTACTGTGGCTGTGGAATTGTTGATCTGTCAGGACGATTATGACGACCATAAATCGGATGTAGCGCTCTTAAAGTTGAGGCCACTGACTCCGAATTTCGGTAGTAAATTTTAATAATTTCGACACGTTGTTGGATCGTGCATATTCCCATGATGAAATGGCAAGTCTTACTGAGGAGAAATGTCAAAAAAGCGTGGAAAAATATGGCGTCGTTTGCTGTCCCTATCGGTCTACTTTTGTAGCGCCCTTATTGAAAAATCTGTTTCATTTCGAGAGTGGTATTTTTTTAACTGTATCTCCAAAACTATTACCCGTATCAGATTGACCTTTTAAACAAAAAAAAAAAAAAAATCGATTTCTTGAAACCTTGAAACCCGTGTAACCCCTTATGCACCAATCCTAGATGATGATGTCGTCAGACAAAATTCAGGAGTATGGTCTCACATCATAGTTCTGAAAACAGTAATATTTTTGTAGAAAAATTAAATTTTTTCGATGGCGCTAAAAAACTAAAAAAAAAAAAAGTTGTATTGTGTATTTGTATATTGTATATGAAATATTGAAATATGAAAAATGTGAAAGAAAAAATGTTTTTCTCAAAATTTAACTTTTAAACCTCTTGCATTTACTCAAGTTTCCGAAATAATCCACTAATTACCTTTCTGGAATTATATATAATCATTTAGAATTTTGTTGATCCAATTTTCCTCAATCTTGTATAGTAAAAGTCCTACAGAATATACTTTATTACTTAATTTTCGAAATTTTCATAATTTTCCGTGGGCGGTTTGGCGCCAAAAATGCTATCGCCACGGCTGAGAGACCACCAATTCATTAATAAAGCAGAACTGGCAGACGAATGCCGAAAGTGATGTGTTGAAAAAAGCATATAAACACCAAAATCAAAAATATTTATGTGTGTTTATCACCAAGCAAAGCCAACACTACAATTTTTTTCTTAGATTTTTTATTATTTTTTGCAACAACTATAATAAACAAATTAAGGAAAAAAATAATAATAATAATGAATATAGCAAGTTGCATATCAACTGAAGGAATGCACATAAAAGTAGGAAAATGCTTTATTTTGTAATAGACTATGAGAATGAAAGTCGTCGGGGGGCGAAACGAGACGCATCCGCTCAAAAGTCGCTTACGCGATGGTTATGTGGCTGTGTGTGTGTGTGATTGTATGTAAGATGCACGTCTGCTTGATTTCGATGACATCAGGCGTAATGGCGTTCTACATTCTACCAAAAAAAAAAACCTCGATATGTGCATATGTATGTGTTTGTGTGTGTATGTATGTATGTATGTATATGTGTGTTGTATGCATATAAATATGTCTACTTGCACTATATTTATGTGTTTGTTTACAAATACACAGGTGCGAATTTACTACTATAAATCGCTTTGTACTACAAAACTGCATACATATATCTGCAAATATAAATATGTATGCATGCATGTGCACATTCGCAATCCAGCTCTCCTGCGATACATCATTTAGTACGCCAACGAAAAATATTGTCTCGACTACGAGTGTTTTCCCGAGATTTCTGACTTCCGAAGACTTACTATTGCTTAATATTAAGCACACACGCACACACACTCACACATACATGCACACAAAAACACATAATATAAATACGAGTACATAAATTTGCCTCGCAGAAGTAGTGGCAGTGCATTTCGTAGGTGATGCCAGAAACAAATGCATCAGCACACCGCTCAAAGACTAAATATTATGATAATGCAATATGTAGAAAAAGAATAATTTTATGTTTTTCATTTTCATCAAGCGTGTACACATATAGCTGGCAACGAGGCATCGTAAAAGCTTCGACGGCACACATGTGCACCTTATAGCAGTATTATATACTATAAGCCGATGTATGCACAGCTAAATAATAGTGAAGCGCACTGATTGCAAGCAGCTGCATTTTCGAAGCAAAAAAAGTGAAAATAAAAAAAAAATATTAAAAAAAAGAAATGAAAACAGGCCCACAAAGCGTTTGCGTTGCATGTGGAAACAAGTTGCTGTCTACATATTTATTTATAAGTATGTATGTGTGTATGTGTGTGCGCGCGAATCTTTTATGGCATGCGTAAAGCAGCAGGCATTCTTGTGGAGGCTGAAGATTTGCCACAATATTTTTTTTTAAATTTTTTTAAATTTTTGATAAATTAGTAAATGCTGTAAAAGATCAGAGCGGTGAAGGTAGAATTTTAGAAAAAAAAAGAATTTTTAAACATACTCTAATTAAGCGTATACATTTTTACAAAAAAAAAAAGATAATAATAATAATGACAAAAAAATCGGTTGCATCAAAGCTATAATACCCTTCACAGGATAATTTTTTATGGCACAAAACAATGGAAAAATATTATCT